TCAGCAGCACTCCAGAACACAAATACAGCACGGGATCAGGGGCAGAGAGGACACCCTGTCACAGATGCCACAGCTCTGAGCCAACCCAACCCCGCCACTGACCGCGCTGACCAGGGCACTGCGCTCACACCAAGGCACGAGGAACTGGGGCCTCACTGCTGACAGATGTTACAGGTGATCTGGAGAGAAAGGTACACAGAAAAAAGTTTAAGGTCAAAGGTATTGAATGAGCAGTTTAGAGAAGGGCTAAAGGAGCACAAGGATGTCATCCCTGCTAAATTTCTGAGAAATAAACAATGTAAGTACTCTGAAGGAAAAAAAAAAAAGGGAGTAGTGGTGTGTGAAAAGAATAAAAATCACAAGCTTTCTCAAAGGCACTCAAATAATGGAAGTGAAGGGGACACTGGTCACTTAACCAAGAGATCATTCTGGCTATGCCCAAGGCCCACCAGATTTGGAACAACCTGCTGCTGTTTTCACTGATCTCGTCTGTCACTACCCCCCTCAACAAGAACCTGCCTTCAAACTAACTAATCCATTTTTCCAAGCCTTGTTGTATTACTTCAATGCTTTCACAAAGTAACTACCAACTACTACCTTCCTAATTTGAGATGTTCTAGGCCCCCAGAGGTTTTATTATTTTTACATGTTATTGTGTTAGGTGCTTTTAAACAGCTTTTCTGAAAGTGCAGAATTCAAGCTGTTATCGGTCGAACACAAATTTCACTTCTACACTGGTAATTGCAGCTTTTTCTTCAGAAAAAAACCAGTTAATATAGACAAAGTATAACGATCTTTCCTCTTAGTTTCCAATCAAAAAACTGCTCAGAAAAGCTCAGCAGAAACTACATAACCAGGTTTGGGAAGTATGATGACATTAAAGAACTGTTCATATTCTCTGGAAGGATGGGGAAGTTTTCTGTCAGCCTGTCATCCAACCACTTTAACATGCTTTGGATCATTTTTCTGGGCACAGTTATAGCTTCTCACCACTGTACTGCCACTATGATTTACATCCATAAAATCTGGCAGGAGCTACAAAAAAAACACAACAAAAACCAGCAATTGAATCTCTAGCTGGAAGGCACTTATTTACAAAATGTGTAACGACTCGAAGTCTAGCTGTTAAAACTTTAAAGAAAAACGAAAATTAAGATTTAATCAAAGAAACAGATTCAAGAAAGCTCAGCAACATGAAGAAAGGATATAGGAGAGAAGGACAGCCGAGGAAAATGACAGGCACAATTCACACTGAATTGTTACCTTTAGAATAGAATTATTATTACAGAAGAGTATTGTCCTACATTACCTTGTTTTCTGAGCATGTGTCATCATCCACCTCCATCAAAAATATGATCCCTTTTGGATGCCAACAAATACACATGAAATTAAACAATCTCAGTACCAGAAATTACTCAGGATTATGAAAAATGAGGCCATGGCATAATTGCCAAACAATTCATTAAAGAGTATTAAAGCAGGAATGAATATATTTTTAAAAAACCAATCTGTGTTTTTATCAGAAGAATGCTGAAGCACAAACTGACAACTGTGACAAATGTTTCAAAGAATGAACACTCTTGATATTCTTTAGGCTATAAAAAAATTAATACATCGATGGGTTAAAAAGCAGCAAAATGTTGTTGTGAATCAAAGCAGTGCAAAAAACCATAATGGGTAGGAAATTAATTGAACTGGTACCCTGAAATCCTGTGGTAGGACAAGTGTATGTGTAAACTATGGGGAAACCAGAGAGGGGCAGATTTTAAAGAGGCAGTTTTTCAGTAATACAGAGATTAGATGGGGATTTATGAGCTCTAGGAATCAGCAGCACACCAACCAAAGGAGAAAAACCCCAAACAAACAAACAACAGCAATCACTAACTTCTTACATATTGTCTTTGGTTGTTTAATATCAAGAAATACTTTTTACAGAATATGTGAAGACTATTCCTTTGAAATTCATTCTGTGTCAATACCTTCTCTGTGGCCTCTCTGCTAAACCAGGAGAGGTTTTACTTTCTCTGAATTGCTTGCTGTTTTCTACATTTTATCACAGCTCTCTTCAAAACCCAAATTTCTTTCATTTACAGGTTTTTGTACCAAAATGGTATAACTAGAACAGACTTTACATTGTATATGAAGGTACTTTTCTTGCATTATAAACTTAGACCTACTAAAACAATTTTCCACAAGATACTATTGAACTTACAGCAGGATTTAGAGACAGGAATGAACATTTGTAATAATAATAACTTTAAAAAAAAAAAAAAAAAAAGCAACCCAAACCATCCAAAGTTACATTAGCAAGGATTAGAAGTATTATCTCAAAGATTTTAAAATTACTGCTTTAAAAAGTCTTGTATCAGAAAGGAGTTTTCAACACCCAGCCAGAGGTGCTCAGTAGTTGAAGAGAAGGGAATGGGGAAGAGATGTTTAGGGTTTTCCCCTCATTTCCTTGCTGTCTTGCCAATTAAGCTCAGAATGTTTCCCAGGTGTATGATAAATTTAAGGGATGGAAAGTCACATACACGTTTAGTGATATTTCAACTGGACTCTGTACAGCATCTCCAATGTCTGAATCAAAAGCATTCTGAGCAATGTCAGATAAAAGTTAATAGGAAAAAGAAACCAACAGAAAGGCTATTGATACACCTTTAAAAAATGTAACACAAAAATAATTAACCACTGATTTCTTGGCATGTAAAAGTTCTATACAAATTTTAAAAATTTTATTTGCAGGTACTAACCTCTTGAAAAGCTCACTCTGTATTTACACTAATTCTTTTAACAAGTTTATCTCAAATTAAAGCATATTTAAAACAATCATGATTGCATTAACTTTTCTGCTTTAAATTATTACCCAATTAGTGCTTTATTCACATTTTAAAAACTTGTACAATTTATTACAAATATAAAACAGTGCAGTTTTTCATACATTATCCCAACTCTGAGACAAACACTTAAAAGACATGGAAAAAGATTTTGATTTCTATAAACATAACATTTGCATTACTCATACCCCTTTCTTCACTGTCCTCCCATAACCCCGATTTAAAAAGATCAAACATACAACATACTGTAGGTTTATTTTTATTCAAAAAGTTACTGTCTCAAGACATAAATACAAATCAGAAAACAGTACAATTAGGACAATAGAATGTGGAGGACAACAGGTTAAGGTAAATATATAAAACATTTTTAGCTGGTTGAAAACAAAGCTGTAAGAACTGCTTTCACAAAGAAACACTCCTTCAAGAGTAAGAAAAATCAACTTAGGTTTAAAATCATATATACAGTCCTCTCAGCAGTTCTATTAAATGCAGTGGTGTGAAAAACAATATAGGCAGTACTTTTAGACATGAGAATATTTATTTATGTAAAATGAGTTAGGCAGATCTAGTTTTGAGTTTGTTGTTACCCCATGACTTAGTAAAATAATTATATTTTATCATGATCCTTTAGATAATCTATGGTTTTTGGCTACCACAGCCGAATGTTTAATTTCTGAGTCTAAAAACAGGAAGCCTTTTTGTATTCACCCATTTGGGGAGATTCTTGTATTGCAAGCGTATTAAGGCATGGAATGATTAAAATAATATACCTCAAGAACTGAGAGACAACTGACAAAAAATATACATATGTAATATAAGTTAATATTTCCTTTAAAATGATGTCTAGCTGCCTAAGCCTTGCAAAATGAGTTGATGTCAAAATGGCATAAATCCACTTTCTGTTTTAGACCAAATTTAATTTATTTGTGAATGGACACAAAACGAAGTTTAAAGCTTAGCTTTCAAAGAATATTATGGGTTGTTTATGAATTTCTATTATCCAATCTAATTTACATACAGAGGAAATGTACTGTAACCTGTTAGAAGTATCTTTAACCTGAAGACTGCTTGCAAAGACAGATAGATAAAACAATATAAAATACAAATTTAAAAATCATTTTTAAAGCATGAATTCTCATGCTCTTCTATTTTTAAACATTGTTAAACTTTCAATATATTTCTGAAACCTCATAATTTTAAGTTGGAATTTAAAAGTAAGAAAAAACTAAACAAACTGCGCAATTATAAAATCAGCACCAATTTATATATATATATAATTTTATTTAAAATTTAGATCCCTATTCCCACACTCTAATAAGCTGTATAATTTTTGTTTAGAATTTTTCTGCAAACATACTACAATAAGCTTCTTTTATTTGGAGACAAAATACAGTGGCACTACTGGAAGGAATTTCACAACATTACATTTTTCTTAAAGGACAAGCAAACTTTCAGGGTTGGTAATGGGCAAGCATGAGTGAGATCTGTTACGTTCTGGTAGCTCATAGTTTATGGACCTTTCTGAGAAGGCTAACATGAAGCTTTTGGAATAAAAGTGTGTTTTAGATTAAAAAGCTGTTAAAGTTCTGCTTTATGTACTTTTTTCCATGATTAATTAATACAAACCTTCTGTGGTTGAAGTTTGCATTTAATTGAAAATACTGACAACTCTTCTGGTTCTATCACTGTAAGAAAACCAATCCATCTACTATTTCAGTTCATGGACGTGAACAGCAATCCAGCAGAGCTTATGATTATTTAGTACAGCCAGCAAATGTATAGAGAGGGGCTCAAATCTGTACCAAACACCTCTCAGACTGTTAGAATAAAACTCAGAGGGAATACTTCTTATGATCCGGAAATAAACTGATAGCACATAAATAAAATATTGATTTGTTTTCCCAACAAAAAGTGTAGCTTATCCTCAAATTGTTTACTTGTCCTTTACATTTCTTTTTTTTTTTTCAGGCAAACAAAACTGCCCCTTCAATGCACTTGATCTTGAAAGCATGTCATTCTCCTTAGAGAAAAATCTGTTCAGAATTTCACTGTATCTACCACAATTTTGTATTGAAAAACTTCCTCTTCCACTTAGAAAATGACTTCACCACTGATTTATTTGCTGTTCTGGTATTAAAACATTGACACCCCAAGAACCTAAAAAAAAAGTTAGAAATGGTGTCAATTTTTAGTCTACCAAACATTTAACAAAAAACAAAGAAATTAGTATATGTTTTAAGATTAAGACACTTCAAGATATGTTAAGGCATTATAAGTTTATTTTTCTTCCAAACCAGATTCACCACACTTCTGATTTAGGTAATGATACGAAAAGGGCTCCTCATTAGTTAGAAATATTTTTCTCACACTTCAAATTCATTAGATCCAGTAGGAATATGACAAAGCCTGCATTTTAATTATTTTAGGTAATAATTGCGAAAGAATTTTAGTTAGTTGCCTAACTCAGACTTCTTTGACAATGACATTCTATTGGCCTGAACCTGAAATCAAGTGTGTCATTTCCAGCAACTAAACCTGGGACAAAACACCCCATACACCAGTTGCTGCTGCATCTGTGACCATGGAAACCACAGGTCACCTCACAGCAGCCAACTAGGACACAAACTGAACACCTCCTATGAAATGTAGCCACTCTGTCAGGAAGACAGTGGGGGAAAAAAAAAAAAAATCAAACAATCATCAGGTAAAATCAAACAAGTGTCCTTTGGGATTGTGTGACTAAGGAAAGAAAAAGCTTTCCTGAAACAAAGAATCAGTTTCCACTTCCCTCGTGAAAGCAAGCAGGTATCACCACTGATATGCCAAAAAAAAAAAAAAACCACCAAAAAAAAAAAACCCAACCAGAGGATCCAGATTTTGTGACTGTCCTAGCTTTTACAGGACTTTCTAAAATCAGAAAGAGGCAACAGGGACCTAATTTTCCTGAATCTTAACACTGTGTTCACTTTTATCTGTTTACAAACCAATTTTTACTGGGTTTTTTTCAATTAAATTCACTTTAGATGCATCATACAATGTAGCACACAGACAGAGTTGCCTCTGGTGCCGGCAATAACCGGGCACATCAAAACATGAGCAGACAGGCTAAAATTTTCATCACATACCACATGCACCTCAAAAAATTAAACTGCTTTATTACGCCTCGTTCTATTAAAAACAAGTGCAGCAACTCTGGGAACAGCGGACCTCTGAAATAAGATATGAGAATAAAGCAAATTAACTTTATTCTGAGAAGATTTTCTTTATTTTTTTCCTGCATTTCCGAAATTGGCTCTTGCCCGTCGAGCACGGAGGGGGCTCCGGGCGCTGCGCTGCCCTCGGCTGCCCTCGCGCGGCCGCGCCCGGGAAACGCAGCCAGGGACGGGAACCTCGCGGGCACTAAACCTGTTGGAGCGGCTCGTACAGAACTGAGGAGCTAAAAGGTTTCTGAAAGCAACGAAATGTACCCGTACAAGGCCGAATAGTCAGCGCTGTCAGGCTAAAAAATCACCGATAATTATTTCACAGATCAATCCAGGAAAAAAATGGAGAAGGGGAAGGGAAGAACTATTTTAAATCAGAACAAGTGAGATACTTTCTTGGTGTTACTTGAGGAACAGAACACACGACAGCCAGACACACGACCTAACTGATTCATTATTACTGGAGCAAAATATATGGATTTGCATTTAAAACAGTATTTAGGACTTCTTTCTCCCATAAACAAGAACATGTTCACGCTGCAACAATACTGTAAAAAAATACATAACCGTCTTCCAAATTCCACCAAGCTGTCCAAGACTCCCAGGAAGCATTGTTGTACTGTCCTCTGCTGGCTTGCTGCAGTTTGTTATTTCCAGTGTAATTTTGTACCAGCTACACAAGGTCAAAAATGGCTGCATACATTACAAGTGGTTCAAGACAGAAGGAATCCCTCATGCAGATTTTTAAAAGAGAATAGAGACTGCAGATTTATCAAGTCGGATAAAAGGGCAACTGCAAGCAGAAACTACAGACTTCGGATGTTTTGGACCTAAAACTTTATATGGAAAGAAAAAATACCTCTCATCTCTATAAACAAGTATCTGTATTATCTCCATTTTCTTCATTATCTTACTTATGCACAAAAGTAAATATGCCAATTAAAAAAAAATGGAAGAGAAAAAAAAAAAAAAGAAAAAACCCAACCAAAAAACCCACAAAACTCAAACCATCCAATGCTGACAACTGGTAATGACAACAGAGTCACTGAACTAAGCTCGGCACAACAGGAAATTTGCCTTTTATATTGTGTGTGTACAATTTTTTATTTTTATTTTTTTAACGCTCTTTGCTATCAACCTCTGGAGGGTCTTTTTCCATACCAGATTTGTTTTCTCCTCAGATTCAAAGGCTTTTAGTTTTTACATAGCTACATATAAATATTAAGAACAAAAATCCTATAAACTTGCAAAGAACACTGACTATCTTAGAATTTATGAAGTTGAATTACAGCATAAAATATTTCCCCGACTCTACTAGTCGGCCAAAATAAGCTAATAAAGACAACTTGAAGATTAAATTCTTTCCACTTAAAATCTGAAGTAAGAGAGTATGGTAACCTTAAGACTAAGTTTACATTACTTTCCCTTACATAAGTTAACCTACCGATTCATCCATGATTGAAGCGGGGTCAAAGAAATCTGGTTTTAGTTCCGTTCTTTCTCTCCTGTTCTTTGATGGTGGCTTTAGAAAGCAAACAAATAAACAGGTTAACTGTAATTTCACAAGAAAACCAGAGGTTTTACAGTGTAGTAAGAATTACTGACAGCAGCACAGAGCTCTTTAGCACAGCTCTCTTTAACAACGCAGAGAGCAACAAGAAGGATTTTTCTGTTTCCCCAGAAGGAAAATCTGATTCAAATATCTTACTTTAAAAGCAGAAATGCAAATCCCAAGTCCACTAAAAACATAACTAAATCTCTTACTAGGTCTATGTCCATGGTGTCAAAATCCATGCCTTCATTAAGATCTTCGATCCGCCCTTCTGATGACATCATCACATCTTCAACAATTGGCTCCTCATCATCTTCCATTAGACTTGTGCCACGTCGACTGAAATGAAAAGAAAAACATTCTGTGTAGCACTAAATCAAGGTAAGTTTAATATGAATATTTAAAAGGCTGATGCTCAATAAGGAACTGCCAACAAATGATCATTTCTGTTTTATCTAATGGAATTAAGTAATTAAAAAAAAATGCACAACTACTATTAAAGAAAGCTGGCATTTAACCAGCTAGAAGATACTAATAAGAGTGTGGGAGAATGGCTAACAAAGATAACTGAAATGTGGTACATTGCTAAATGGGGATTCTGAGAGAATTGTTTCTGTGAGAATTGATAAGCAGATCTAAACCACACCTAATTTTGCACTTAATGCTCAAATGAAAAAGAACCTAGGTTTTGCCACTTAAAGTAAAATTTTTTCTGCCTTATGGTAAGGCAAGGAAAAATGTCTTTGCAACAAAGTAGATGTGTAAAACCATTACAATATTTCCACACAGTCTTTCATCCTCTTTCCTCACAACTTCTACACACAACATCAAACCTTATGAGAAGAGTAAGGAGTCATTCTAATTTCACTAACTGGTGTCACTGTATTAAAAAAGCCACCACTGAAACTATGTTACATGAAGTACTGGTAACAGAACAATTAAAAGTTATTAGGGGAAAGATGTAAAGCTCCTCAATATATATGTCAATAGTTTTAGGTTTTTTTCTGCAGATCCACACAGTCCTTAGGAAAGCAGAGAACTTCTAAATCTAGTCTTCCCCCCTCAGCTAAACGAGTTCTGGAACATACTTTTATTAACATGCTTGTCAAAATGCACATGTGATGACTCATAATGAAGTAAGTGACACTCCAGTAAGAATGTATGACCTCTGAAGGACAACACTTGTTTAAAAACATTAGATCGTGTTCATCTTCATCCACAACATGGAGGACTTTGGAAGTGTTTTGTGTGTTTGGGTTGGCAAGTTCTACAAAAACTGATACTACAGGTCTCCTCTGAACTTTGGTTCAGTGGTGAGAGAAAGTCTGTACCAATCAGAGAAATGCTGAAGACAGTAGCTTCTTTTAAAGGGATACTTGTACATTAAAAAGCAACAGAAATAGCAGATTTAAGCTGATCAGAAACTTTCTACTCCACAAACTGAACACCTATTTAAAAACTTGTTTGCAGTGTTCTATTTCTAAATATGATTCTGGAGTTAGGAAAACATAAAGATGATGTTTCACATGTATTAATTGCATCTATCTGCTACAGATAACACTGTTCAACAACCAGTTCCCTTTATTACATGGCTCACTACTATTCACTTTTTCTGGAATCTCAGTTCAAAAATAAGCAAGAAATGCCACGTTCATTTACCACTGCTTTTCTAAGGCTACTTAACATTTCAGGACACAGAAAAAAACAAGGCAAGAACTAGAACATGGATCCCTCTTAAAAGACACAGGTGTAACACTGCATTTAATAAACCCTCCCCAAACCACTGAAGGAACATTTCACTCTCACTCACATGGCGTGTTGCAAGTTGCTTCTCAGCTTGACGTAGTTCATCGCTGCCCTCTCCTGTTGTTGTCGCGCGGCTTCTTCCTGTTGCCTTTGAGCCAACATCCACGTTACTTGCGTGCTTAAAAAGACCATTATTCTATTTTAAACATGTACTGGTTTTGTGTATGAACACTAACACAAAGCAGACCTACTCATCTACGTACTTGTAATCGAGGGGAGCTTGGTGGTGCTCGGGCTGCATAGGATAGACACCCATGTAATTCTCGTCAGGTCGCAATCTCTTGGGCTCCCTCATTATTGTGGAAGTCAGCTGAGGTGTCTGCATCATGACTGGTGTGTGCATCGACTGCTCCCTGTTCAGCCACATACTGTCACTACTGCTGCTTTCTTCAGCTGGAAGGAAATGCAGTAAGAACATCAGTAAAGTTTTTTTCAAGCTACTCTAAAACTGAACGTTTAAACACAAGTTACACGGGTGTCCTTTCTGCTTACTGAGAATAGACTGCTTTACTTTTTACCATGAAGTTTTACATGTGCCTCAAAAGGCCTGGATTTATAATCACTGGCTGTAGTATTTAATATATTTTTCTATTCTGTGACTTAACACAGTGTAGTGCCTTTATTTCCTCTCGTGAATCAAGTGTTATTTTATTCAGAATCTTCAAATGAACAGCTTTCCCACTAAGACACAGACATGTACAGAAGTTATCCTGTTTTTAAAAAAATACCTTAGAGTATTTCAATATACTTATGCTAACAAATAGAGAACAACATGTATACTTTATATGAATATCTACTCAACTAAATTTTAAGATGAGAAAAGTTCTACCTTCAGGTACTTTCCGCTTGCCTGTTGCTGGTTTTGTCTTCTTATTTCTTACTGTAGATCCTCGACTACTAATACCACTAATCACTGACATAGTATCATCATCCCCACCAGCTAGTAAAGAGTTTCTGTAGGACATGAGAGGAAGCCACACATCTTCTCTTCGTAGAGACATCTGAAAGGTCATGAACTTCTCCAAGTAAACATACCTTTAAAAGGAAAACATAATTACCAAGATGCAAAATATCTGTAACAAGATGTTAACACGTCAAGATAATTAACTACTAAAATTAACACCCAATGCTCCTCATCTAGTTAACAAAAAGGCCTGACAACAGTAAATCCACAATATGATTTCTGTTCATTCACCATAAAATGAAAACAACAAGGACAAAAACAATTTACCCTCTGTGATTATATTTGATTCCACCTGAGGTAAATACAATACACATAAATATTTATTCTGATGCATGCCTTTTGTGGTTATGATCATAAATATCAAGAATACTTTAAAAATACTTACACTGTTCTTTTGTCTTGTCTGAGAAGCTTGGAGGAGAACTCACTCAGGATATCAAGAAATGCCAAATTTAATGGTGGGTGGCTCTCACCTTGTGGATTAGGTTCCTTAAAAGCAAATTCAATGCCATCCCTAAGAAAAAGTTAAAAATTAAGTCACAAAAAGCACAAACAATAGAAAAAGTTCTAAGCCCTGTGAGCTACAAAAACTAAACCCCTCTCCTTTATGTTAAGAAAGCAATAATTTGTTGTTTCCATATTCTGTCAAAAAAAGTGAACAGTGAATCTGGACACACTCTTTCTGTCATGCCACTTCTACTCTGCATTGCAAGTTTTCTGCATGAGACCAACATAACCACCACTGACAGTGAAGTGGATCTGTTCTTACTGTTGTGGGTAAGACATGAAAAATACTTTTTCATCATAACATCAACACTGCTATCATTTACAGGCTTAAACAATGATGCTGGAGAACACCAACAACATTTAACATTTGGGTTTTACTCAGAAACAAAACTACAGTCATCTCAATTAATAAATGGGCTGTATCATCGCTAGAGCTGATGCATTTTGTACTACCAAACTCACTTTGAAAGACTGAAAAGATAATTTTCTGTTAGTGTTTACAAAAATGGAAGTAATACAAAGCACACAATTACTTGTGTAACATAGCAATAGCTTCTCTTGTTTTCAGCTGATCCAATCCAAACGTTAAAGCAAAACGTCGAGCAAGTTCCTTTATGCCGCTGAATGTCGGTGAAGATCTGTCGAAATTATAACCATTTTCTTGAATCATTTCATTGAAAAGCTGTATGAAATGAGGAGGGAAAATCATGTATTTAAAGATTGTGCCAAACTTTGGATCAATACACACAGAGTTAAGCTGGAGTAAAAAACTGTTTTACAGCTTCCCCCTCTTAATTTCACAACACCAAGAGACAAACATGGAAGTTTAGGACAAATAAGTCAAGGCTATGCTTGAGAAGTTTGCACTTCAGAGTTAAACCCTGAAATGCACACTGTCCAAGCACACAGGTCTCCACACAAGCAGGCTCATTTACTGAAGAGAGTATTAAATCATGTTTTAATATCGAGTATGTGTGAAGCCCCTACCAAACATTGATACTGAATTACTAACACTTTCTGTTAATTCTCAGGTTAAAAAAAACAAACCCAAAATCAGAAAAACACACCAAAGCAAAGCAAAATAAAACACACCCCACACCCCCCCCAAAAAAAAAAAAACACAAACCCCCACCATGCAGGCAGGAAGTGTTTTCCCTTGGTTATCTGTTCACAAGTAAGTAAACTCTTAGTTAAACTATTGTTTTAGACCTATGAAGGTGTCACAGTTATTGATTTTGTATTTATGGCCTCTCACATACACTTTTCATAGCACAATATTTGCTAAGCATAAGAAGATTTCTGAAGTCTTTCAAAGACTTGTAGAAAATGTGTTTCAGTTTAGACCTATTTATTGCCACCTTCCATAAGAATTCCTTCATCAATACCTCACACCAGTTATTAAACAGGACATGTGGAATTCATGCATAAAAATATTATAAATTCTTACCTGCTGCAAACTAAGAATAAGTGTCTTAGCACACTGGATTTTGTCTATCTGTCTTGTTTTACTCATCGTTTCTTTAATAATATCACCATAGTCATTGTAATACTACAAAACACAACAAAAGAAAAACATTAGCTTTCAATATTAGCTGAAAACATTACAACTACTGAATTCTTCTGAAAATAAAATCTAGGATCTGATATTAAAAATACTGAACATTTCTTTTCATTCTTGTTGTTCGTATTACTTTAGAGGCAGAATGACCTATTTATCTTCAAGGCCATGACACATTTGTTAATGACACGTGTTCACCCCTTCAGGGTACAAGATTAGATTCTAATCTTTTTAGTACCTCCTGTAACTCTGGTGGGGAGTTTTCTATTTTCTCTGCTGAAAGGAGGCACCTCCAGACAGCATCACAGCTGAAATTTTTCCAATGAAGACAGTTGCCTGTTCAGTTCTTTAAGTATTTCAGGTTTAATAAAGACCCAATTAGTTATTTAGAGATTCAAAATATATGTAGGGCACTCAGACAGATAAGAGCAGGCTGCCCAAATTTTAAATTTTTTAAGGTAATCACCAAGGAGCAAAGCTTTATCATGTTCACAGAATGAGAACTCATACCATTGCGTAGCTGTGAATCCCAGGAGCCAAAAGGGGTTTTTATATTTAAGAAAGACTGAAACAGATATAAAGGTAACATGGGGAGAGTGGGACTCAAAACTTGTTTCTCTTCTACAAAGTTTAAACTGAAATTATTTGATGAGGCTAGACAGAGAGGATCTTTGGGAGAAGACTCTCAAAAGGCCTGCTAAACTAATAACTGATTTAAAAATATACCATCAATCAGGATAAGAAAATAAATCTATTAAAAACAACATAAAAAATAATGAGCAAGTTTCTTTCCTCCCTCCCTACCACCCACACACTGGAACTGTGAAACTTATCTCAGTCATTTTTACCCCTGCATACAGAAAAAGAACTTTTAAAGGCCTACAACTCTGGAGTTTTGAATTCTTCACATTTTGAATCAGTTATCTTGTAAGGTAAAAATTAAATAATAATTTTAAAATCCACAGCTACCGTATTCTAGTAGTTTTACTAATGATCACTAAGCTTCAGATTTACCTTCATATATTGCTTGAAAATGTCTGCAGCTGTGTTCATTTCCACCACAGTATATACAATGAGCTTACAGAAAGCTGCAAGTAGATTTCTTCTTTTGTGCAATGCTTCAATTTTGCTTGCTTCATCATCCTGCTGTCCATCTGGAAGAGTTCAGAACATGACAACTGTCAGGTTTAAAGGCTTCATATTTAAGCATTTACAGATAAAAGTGATATGGTTAGTGGTCAGGATTCAGAAAATCAGATCTCAATTCTGGTGGCAGTGCATTTCATTGTCCACTGTCAAGTCTCTTCCCCGATATCACTGTGCCTATTACACCAAACCTTTACTGTGATTATCCTACATGTTCCCAAACCAGCAAATGCTTTGATCAGCTGCCAACATTTAAAAGCCAAACCTACCCCTGTGCCCATGCACAATCCTCAGTGACAAAAAAACACCACACCAAAACCCCACAAAACCCCACCAAAACCCAGAAATGCACAGGTAAATATATATTAGAAGGTAAATAATGTAAAGGGAACATAGGTTTTGTACAAACCTGCACTATTATTATCATCATCCTGATCAATGAAGACATGATCTAAAATAAAACTGAGTAGTTCAGACTGCAATGAAGAATCAGGAGTGTAAACAAGTGGCTCCAACATGTCACGTCCTCCTGTCATAATCTGATGACTGAAGATCATCAACACATCACACAGAATTGTGAAAGCCTGTTAAAAAGAAACCTTAGTAAATACTTGCTTGGAAAGTCGATTTTATTTAGAATAATGTATTTGCACTTGACAAAATACTTAAGAGTCCAGCAGTGCACACAGGCCAGTGAAGTTCTGAACAACTACAGAGGCCTCCTGGAAGTCAAAATGTGCACAGTTTCTTGCAGTAGGTTCCTGTGTCAGGACTGGGTCTCCAAATAAAAATACTGCACAGAAGAAGCCAACTAAATATGAAAACATTGCGAGATTAAAACATGAGGAGCCTGAAACTCCAGAATTCTGCCTGATGGATACTACATTAGGTCACTAGGGACACCAAACATAACAGTCTCCTTTTTGCTTTCTTTTTTAAAAATTGTTTTGATCACATTTGTAGAACATCTAATAGCTGAGGTCATTCAACCCCTTTAAATCATAATGTCTTACTTCCAGAAGTCCAACCACCTCTTTGTTTTGCTGGCTAACTTGTCTATCTGATGTCAGACTTAAATATCTGTACTCCACCTTCCTGGAAAGTTCAAATGTCTCAGTACCTGACACAGACTGACAGTCTTCAAACTAAACAGACCAAGGCAACTCTAATCTCTCAAGTACTTCCATGAACAGATCTGTTCTCTAACCCCTCAAAGTGAATATTACTAATTTCCTGGTCACAATTTCCTGCTCCTCTTAAGTCCCTTCTGTCCCTTCATGACATTAGAGAAGAAAAGTGGAACCAAGGCTACTGTACCCTGTGTGACAGGTACCCTGTGTAACTGGGTAGTTCTAGTTTCTAGAGCATTCACCAGACTGACAGTTATACAGCTTTTTAAAGAGACCTACTCATAGCCTCAGTAATTTTTGTTACTTGGACTTTCACACCCTACACCTTGTGACTCTTATACCAGATAGTTCTTTGACACAGAACACGTCTATTAAGTTTCAGTGATGTTCTTGTTCTAGCAAGAATTTCAAAAGCTGCAATTGTGCGACTCAGTGGACCAGATTTTCAACTTCAACCAGGTTATTATTATCTTTAGAAGCAAAGAGGCTCCTGGCTTTCCATTTGTTTAATTAAACCATCTACCTAGAAGATAATTTGGTCCTTCCCCTACAGAGAGATACTGCCCTTTTTTTTTTTTTCATCTTAGCATTCTCAAGATTGTTAAAGGCAATTACTTAGAATTAACCCTGCTATCACTAACCTGTTCTCTGGGACCTCAAACTCCTGAGTGAAATGACCAAAGAACTACTTGACTACAGACTGGAAGAGACTCAGTATTTAACCTTTTCCTTTGACCCTGTTATCCTCAGAACAAGTGTTTCCCAATATGATGTCTCAATTCTTTTTGAAACAGGACAAAAAAAATACAGAACAACCCCCAAAAACTTCATGCCAGCATTTCTGAGACAGAGGGAGGGAGGGAGAGAGGGAGAGAGGGAGGGAGGGAATGAGGGAGTTTTAGTGGTTCTTCAGTGGATAATTGTAAAAATGTGGGAATGTAAAAGCATTCAAAGACAGAACTAAAAAAATAACTTCTTTAAACTGCTGTCCTTAGCTCTTCCAGTTTTGAGCCTATGAACCCACAGTCAGCTCCACAGGAGATGTGTGGGCATGAGCACACAGTAAGCAAGAGATTTGAAACAGAACTCTTTCACTTGAACTTAGAAACCAGAAGGTTTCTACAGTGCACCTGCACAGTCATTATTAAAAGAAAGAAAAAGCCCTTTGGAATAAAAGTTTTTCCTGCCTAAAATTACTAGAAACAATCAACACTACCTGAGGAGGGCAAGCACACAAGTACAGTGTGTATTCACACTCCAAGGGCGTTCAGCCTGAACATGCAGGACACACCACATTCCCACATAAGTACCAAAAATTGCTTTAGAAGTATAATATTAGAAGACTACCAGTACAAACAACAGTCACTAACCTGTTCCTTAACAGCAGTGTTTACATTGGTCAGGTAGTGTTGACAGATTTGACAGAACACTCTCATCTGCTTCTTCAGACGTAGAAGATCCTCCTTCAAAGAGAATGATTTCATGTAACAGTTTAACTTTTTGATTTTATAGTCACATTCGGTACATGAACTTTCACAGAGTATTCCACCACAGACCTCCTGTGTAGTGGTAACATTCAAGTCCAGTGCATTATTCAAACATCACTATTACAAAAAAAAAAAATAGCAAGCAGCAATTTCCTCACTTTGGTCATCCTGTGTGGTGCAAAACAAAATGGCAGTTGGGATGAAAACCACAAAAGTTATTTATTAAAAAAGTAGTAACAAAAATCCCTCAAAATCAAACCTAAAAAAACCAAACGCCTGCCCCCACCCAAAAAACATTCCAGAGCATAAGGCATTTTCTCTTTAAAATATCTGCATTTGCAACCTCGAGGACAGATTTTAGGTAGCTGTTTATAACTAAAAAAGACCAGGCTACATGGTATTATTTTATTTTTTTTAACTCGTTGCTTGGCGATAAAGTAGAATATCAGATGAGAGTTGGTGTTTTCTTCCCCCATTCATTGGAAAACAAAACTTCCCAAAAAGCACATTTCTGAGCAAATAAAGTATCAAACTGGAAGAAGTCCCACCCACATGTGTGACACAGTTGGTGTTACTCAATCATGTGAAGATTCTAGGCCCTGCAGAACTGGGGAAGTGATAATACAAAACACCAGCTGTGTAACCAGCATCAGCCCAAAGAAAGATGAACTACCCCTGAAAGAAGTTTAAGAACTCTCCCTGCAATCTAAACTGAAACAAGGCTCTTCCTTCAAGAAAGCAGGTACAACATATGATTTCATCTCAACAGGAATCACAAAAGCAACAGCTGCTTCTTGACAGGAATCTAAGTATAAAATTATTTTAGAACCTTTCCTACATAAAAACTTTTGTCTCAGATTACTACTCTGTTGTTAAGAGAATTACACATGGGACTATTTTCTTTCTTTCATATAGAATTATTTATTCACATTTCTATTAAAATTGAACTATTTATGTAGTCTTTAATTTAGCAGCCTGTATTATGAAGCTAATTCCCATAGTTAGTCAACCTGTTCAATACAGCACACAGTTAACACCTAATATTGTCAGAGAACAAAAAACCCCAAACCAACCAACCATAAAAACAAATAAACCAATCAACCAAGCAAATCTTAAGGCACAGTACACTTCTGTCACTTCTGGTTCTCTGCCTATTTTTTGCTGTTATATTCCACTGTCAGAAGTCAATGAAACTTCTGTAGGTACCTGATATATTTGGCAGCAGTCAAGCAGTTAAATAAAACAAAATAGTTGTAGTTCAGAAGTTAAACCTAAAAGCTTTAATTTACAAAAATTTATTATGTAGAAGCAGAAAAAAGTCTTAATAAAGGACAAGTTTTCAAATAAATTATTTTCATTCCTGGGGAAAGTACTGAAAATTACATTTTACTACAAAACAGCTAAGTTAATCTTTATTTCTAAATTGTACTGTCAGTATTTCACTCAGCTTCTGCCATCAGGCTTGTGATAAAGCTTTAATCACTATTACAAAAACCTCAAGACTGTTTACCCTGTAAAGAATAAGCTAACAAAGCCTCCTTTCACACAGGTAAATGCTTCTCAACAATCTGTCTCCACTTGGTATCTGATATTTGGCGCTGGAAATGTGTAAAGCCATTAAAACACAGATGGGTAAACTAGCCAGCCAGTGTTCAAGTTCACAAGTAGTTAACACACCTTCAGACTGTAATTACTCACTGGACTAATGAAGTCTCAACATGATAGGGGAAAACCACCATAATCTGCCACAGGTGTTCTCTGTTATAAAATCATTAGTTACAGAGCATGATTTTCCACTCCTGCATCTACCAGGAGCTCCAACTATCACACCCTAAAATGAAAATAATTTTAAAAGAAAAAAAATGTATACATCCTCACATTAAAATGGATTATTAATTAATCATATATTATTAATGCCATGAGTTCTCTTTGTTATCTCCATGGTAAACTGTGGCAGTCACGTACATTAATTACAAGTACGGCAATCAAAGTGTTTAAAAAACTTCAAGAATTCACTTATCTCCCCTCTGACATAAAGAAAGATGGGTTAACAGTAACTCTAATAACAAAGTGCAACTCCAGCATAAATTTTCAGCAAAAGAGCACTCTTCTTTCAGGACTGTGGAGAGCTTCCAGTATGTTTGATTATAGCGGGTTTTTCCAAATTTAAAGAAATCATCCAAATGTTTCATCAGTTACAAACTCCACCCTAAACCATCTAGCCTCTAAAAAAACTTTTTTTTCATGAGGCAGTTCACACAACCAACCACCTGATCACCCCTTCAAGCAATGCTGCCCAGTGGATACAGGAAACCTTAATCCCTCCTCCAAGATTTTTCAAGAAGTGAAATTAGAAAGATGACATTTGCAAGAGCTTTGCCCTTCAAGATTACTATACATAGAACCAGAACAGGCCCTCTCATCACTCCCTCAGAAAATCTCAAATTTAACTTCATCTTCTTGTGCCTTTATTTTAACAACATATTTAAAAGACTGATGAAGAGCAAAGTGGAATTGCAACATACTGACCAATAAGAATACTATGACAGTGTGCAAATTCTTAGATCTCACTGACTTGTCACAAGTAGTTCAGTTTGTAAACAAACTCAAACTCACTACTTGAGAGTAGTAAAACTGACCACACTGTGTTTTATAATTTGCAGTGTACCCCTCCTTAGCATTGTTTTTATGCCTGATATCATATTTATTTATAACTACTTTAAAATTCTGTCAAATTAAACATAATGCTGTCATTCTAAAAATATAAACATAACAACTGAGGTAAACACCAGGTTTGTAAGTCAAGCATTTAACTGCTAAAACTATGAATTTGGATGAACTTATCAGAAAAGTAGAATCAGGCAGATACCACTATAAAGAAAATTCTTAGTCTTAATTCCAGCACAGCTCTCACTTGATGACACTGCAGCTATGTACAAATGTTTATTTACTAATAAAACAGGAACAAGGCATACCTTTGTGGAACTGCTTTCAGTAACTTTTGCTAGCTGCCAAAGGATTACATAATGAGTACACTGCAGTGCATGAATAACAATCTGAAATCAAAAGGGGAAAATGCATTAGATGACAAAGGCCAAAAAAAAGACAGCAACAAAAGCTATTTGTTGTTGTGCCTGAAGAACACATTTTAACTACAGACCTGTTCTGGCATGTCTCCATTTTCAATGCCAGTTTTCAATAACTTGTAGTTGCAGCCAAACAAGTCCCATCTTGATAGGTCATGAGCACTGGAAGCATCAGAAATGAAGCAAAATGTAATTTAACTAATACCATTTCTGCAATTTGAGGTTAACAACTACTGAAAGCTTAACTGGCCGAAAAAAAAATAAATTAGTGGAATAAAGACTCCAGTCATAAATACCTCCCCCTCCCAACCACCACCAATACACACAAAAAAAAAAGCAAAGCAAAAAACCCCCATGAAGTTGCACTGAAAAGAGAGATCAAACTAAAAACAAACAAAACCAATGCCCTACACCACAAACCCCAACAGCTGCGTGCAGAACTTACTTGTGAAAAGCAGTGATTCTCTTCAGTGTTGACAAGACTTGATATGCATCATCTTCATCAGGTTCCTCACCCTATTTAACAATCACACAGTGAGGTATCTCAAACATTCTAAGCAAACTGGGGAGCTTACTAAAACCAAACACAAACTGGAGGGCGTGATGGGGTGGGGACCTGATTCTAAATTATTTATCAATGTCATATTTGCTTTCAGAAGATTTAGAGAGATAAGGCATCAGTTCAGGTCTAGAGATGGACTCAATGATCATAAAAGATCTTTTCCTACCGAAATGGTTCTCTGATTCTATAAAATAGCAGCAGAAGGAGAAAGAGGGGAGGGGGAAGGGAGATGAGGGGAAAAAAGGGAAGTCTAGGATAGCAGAATACAATGTATAATGTAGGTGCTTCTATTTTCTCTGAAGAATCCAGCAGAGGCCACTGTCAGACAAAAGACACTGGACTAGATGGGCCACAGGTCAGTACTTCAATCTTACTTTAATCACAGAAAAAGGTCTTTGACAGAGGTAAGAGAAGTGGTTTGTTCTAATCTTCCCACAAGTTCTGGCAGACTTGCATTTAGTGAAAGAAAAGGAGTAAAAAGGAAAGGGTCCAAAAAGTATCTATTTATACACAGGATAAACTATCTGAGGTCAAGAAACTCCTCCTCAGTTGAGCAGAGATAATCCAAGTTTTACTATTCTGTAGTTGCACAACCTTGTTCAAGAACTATGGATTTCAACACTTCCACCAGAGTATTTGCCTTTTTTTTTTCAAGCCAACTGACATCTCATTTCCTTGCTTTACACTCATTCTTTCTTTTCCTCACAAAGGGAAACAAAAGGATAACAATTCTTGTCTAGGGTTTCTAGAGTGGAGTCCTAGTTCACGACAAAGAGCAAGAGAAGAAAAGGAGCAAAGCCTGATAAACTACGTGCACCTAAGAAGTGTGGAGAATGAAGTTGTCAAAAAGACACTTCCTATGCTCCTTACCACCAATGAGGAGGAGAAACAAGTTTTGTCTGAATGTCAGAGAACCCACATAGTGAAGTTAAATACTCCAACAGAAAATTCTCACTTTTCAGATCAGTACAGTGTGGGAACAGTTATTTTTAAGCTACTAACTGCATCTGCTTGCATTCAGGAAGGGAGGGGGAGTGTTTTCTAGAGATTTTGATATTTAACAACAGCAACATGCAATCACAGGCAAGACTAGCAACAGTAGTACATCTGAGGAGAATCCTAGTGGAATTACAATACTACAACTCTAAAAAACATAAGCCTCAAAACCTAAGAATAAAAAGTTTACGTAATTTCACTGTTCATCTGAAACTTATCTCACATTTCCAAAAGACATTTGTCAAAAGGACATCAAACATAAGACTAGTGCCCTAATATACAAGAATAGCCTGTGTTCACATAATCACAGCAATGATACAACTGTGTTATTGCACTTGACTTAACAGTTTTGGAAGTCAGAGGGAAGCTCCCATCCCTAACTCATTGACTCACAGAGGAAGGCAGAAAAACCTACTGGAAACATTTACAAGGGCAGGAAAAGTTGATCTTGCACATTAAAATACCTCTTGCAGGAAGTCCTCAAGAAGTCGATTAAACTTGTCTGCCAATTCATCTATTAACTGACTTCTTGCAATGTCAACCCTGTTAAAGATTGTGAATTCTTCATTACAGAGAGCGTGGTACGTTTTTGAACAGGCTTCCAAAACATCTATATCTGTGTGTTTCTCCACAATATCCCGGATTTGTCGCAGTAAGGCATCCAAATGCTACAAGGAAGATGAGCCATAGGAAAAAAATATGTAGTCATATATATACACACACAAGACTTTTAATAAACCTTAAGTAATTTTAAAAGGTAGATTCAATTTATTACTTTTCTAACTATGATACAGAACACAAAACACAGAAAGCCAGTGAAGCTTCTGAGAAATTAAAAGTCTACTTATCAAAAAATAAGTAGGAGTTTGTCAAAGACCCAAGATTCACAGCATTTTAAAAAGTCATTAAAAATCTGCCAAGTGTCTGCATGGTTTTATCTAATTTGAATTTCCACTGACAACTGAACAATACAGAAGAATTTACCTCCTACTCACACAAACATTCATACATGGTCTTAAAAGCTGTATAACTGAAGATTTAGTTTCACAGCATTCTAGTGTTGGCACTGGAGCCAACTTCAGTTGTTCTTATGGGCCTCCCCTCAACCTGAGCTGCTCTCTATTGCTCCATCACTGCTGGCTATGCTGTCAACTACACAGTTTATCTCTTTTTGACTCTAATGATTTCCAAGTGCTTCACAATGCAATAGCACATCTGAGGAGGAGAAAAGAGAGATGAGAAGAGCTTCACCAACTTCATCATCACAGCACTTACAATGAAAGCAGTAATTACATAATTTGGGACATGGTAGTTTTCCCCTTTTTCACACAATGGAGATGGTGGTTTACTAGTTTCAGTGATCAGAAAAAGAAATAACTTACTAAGCTATTTCTACAAACTTTTATCTGTCAGGTAGCATACCTCAAACATGACCATAACCCACCAATACATGTTCTCAAATAAAGTTCATCTAATTGGTAAGATTTTCCATTAAAACCTGCCAGACAGGCCTTAGAAAACTCAAACTTTCAGTATCTCTAAGAACAGGAGCCAGTCACAGCTCTGAAGTCCAAGTCACATTCTCAATAAAGGTTACAATAAATAAAGTTTCATTTACACAAAAAACCACATCTAGAATGGTGACAGAAATTCCAGTGACTAAGTCTAAATTCTGGGATTTTTCCTTTTGTCTTAAGTGTTACTGAATGTTACCATACCTTTTCTAATCGTCCCGTTGTATAAATTTCCAAATCAAAGTACTGTGGCAACTGCAGTAAGTTGGTGACTTTTTCTGCATCTACAGAATACTGTAAAATTGGCAAGGAAATGAGTTTAGTTGAAAAAGTCTTGGACAAAATAATTCATTACAGAACGAGCAAATATTAATAAAGACTAGTAAGAAAAAAAATAATACCTGTGGCAAGCCATACCATTAATTACAGAAACTATACTTGTAAACATTTCAGCAACAGTCCATCAGCAAGAAATGGAATTAAACCCACCTTTGCTAGCAACTGAGGGAGTGCCACTGCAAAAAGTTCAGTAATTTTTGTCCTGTCATCCAGTTGGGTTTTCTTTTCCTTTGCTGTCAGCACCTAAAATATTGGTATTGTGAGGATTTTACAGCTAAAAGTTCTGGAGCAAAATCTCATTATCATCAATGAAATGATGATTAGGTACACAGACCTCTAATATCACTGTAAAATATCAATGAAAAGCAAGAGAGGGGAGCATGCAATTTCAAAAAAAACCCCAAAAATTCAGCATTCAAAAATGCAATTCAAAGTTAGGTCTCATGCTATGATTAAGATTATAGTGAAAACAGAGTGATAATCTAGAATGAAGGATTTACCTATCCTGCAACAAAATACCATGACTGGAATGATAACAAAAGAACAGTAAACCCTTCTTTTTAACGGTATTTACCCAATTCATATGCCAATCTAATCTTCATACAAGGTTTCAATCTGTACCTAAATGGGTTCCTTACCAAAAAAAGCACCAGTCTTGAGAGCAGTTCTCTTCCCTGTTTAATGACTCCGTAAAAGAGGGTTCCCTAAACTCCACAGTCATAAAAAAGCCAATTGGTGGACCCTCCTCCTTCCAAGACACTATGGAGTGTATTTTCCTTTCCCTCATTTTGCTCTTGCTCACTGAAAATAGTTTTAACTTTTTCCAAACATTGATTTTTGTCTTCCTTTCCAAGCAATACTGCTTTGAAAATCAATTTTATATTACCTTTAATAGTACAAACAAATGCAGCAGTTCAAACAGCATTAAGCAAATGCCAAAGTCCAGAAAAAGTGAACTAGTCAGGGCAGTTGGATACTGGAGGCTGTGGAGACCAAAGATGAACTTCCAAACTCACTCCCTTCAGCAGCAACAGCCTACAACCTTTTCCTTCTTCCCACAATGTCCCCACAGAGCCATTCCCACATCTCTAGATGAGTAGCTTTTTGCTTCCTACCCTTTTTCCTGTTCCTCTTCCCACAGGAGGATGACATTCAGCCGCTTGCCGAATTGTACAAAGCATTATTTCGATCAGTGCACTTTCCTGTCTATCCGTTAAAGCTGAAATTTAAGAAACAGATGTTAACACACAGCTTGATTTTTCATCTTCCACAAGGATCAAAATATGTTTGTTCTTTTTAAAGGAAGACAGACAGAGATTTAGGCCAACAGCTCATTTCCAGAGGTGGGGATGGTAGAGGGGATAGAGAAAGTAAGTACCTCATAAAACAACAGCAGGAAATATTTAAAATAGAGAGAATATCCCTGGATAAGTCACAGGACAGGATGAAACAGACACCAAGTTTTATAATCATTTTAGTTTCTTTTCATTTTTTTCAGAGGTCCATTTACTGGGACCTATGAATTACAAAATTATGCCAGGGGTTTTGTTTGGGTTTACTGTCATTAAAGAAATTACAGTATTTCTCTATATGGTAGTTGTAACACTCAATAAATGAACCAGTTTCACAAGCAACTTAGTTTCTCTGATGTCGAAAGTGCAGCCTGAACTTGTGGAACAACAAGGCAGCGGGACTCTGCATGCTTATTCCTTCTCTTTTCTTCCCACCATTATTCTTCTGTCTCACTCCCATACCAGAAGTGACCTCTTTCTACTCTTCCCTACATTTTACAATTGGTATCACTGATGGATTTCTCAGAGTCATGGAAACACAGAGAATATATGGAGACTCATAAATGTGAACATCTTATTTCCTTATACATCAGGAGTAACAGAAACTGCACAGGAACACAAACGAAGATCTAGAAAAATCTCTTACGTTCTTCTCCATTGAGAGGCTCCTCCAGCAGAAGACTGTTCATACATTCCCAGTCCTTCAAGAGGTCTGTTGCACAGTCCCACATGCTGTCCACAAGATAAGCAGCATGTTCATGCAACTAAAATGAAAACAGATTAAGTATTTGATCAGCAATAAAGTTCATTACAGAGCTATAATACAGGGTATTTCTTGTACTTGGCTCCCGCCCATGTCAAAAGCACAAAGCAAGTTTTGTGAGCTCTCTGGTTAAACAGAAGACTTTCTTCCCCAATTAACTTTAAAAGATGAATCCAGACCAAGCGCTACAAAGAGCAGGGCTACAGCATCTGTCAGAACTTGTGAGACAGGTGGGTAAGGATTGTGGTTGTGGGGTTTTTTTGTTCTGTTTCACCACCACCCCCCTTTTAAATCTCCTAAATCACAATTTCTTTGCATCTATACATCAGCATGTAGAATGACAGAATATTTGTCAGAGCAGAACTCACAACCTGTCTCAACACTGTACTGACAGATCCTTCAAATAAAAACAACCACGCAAAACAGTCTTTTAACTCCCAGGTTGCTCAAATAACAGGAAAACCCAGACAGATTCATGGTTATTAATCAATGAGTGGGGAAGAGGAAAAACAAGAAAATGAAATTTAAAAAAATTAAAATGAACCACAACAACACCACAAAAACCACACACACCACAAAAACAAGGATATCCCTGGAATCCAACTTACTTCACTTTCCAAAAAGAAAAAAACTAATGTCTTCACAAGATTAGCATTCGGACTTTGTCTTCCTCTCCTTTTAAGTATTCCATCATCTTCAGCATCTCTGCGGCTGAAAAGCCTAAAAGAAAAATTATTTCTCAACAAGTTTCTTCTTCATTGCCTTTGCCACAGTCAATTCACATCAAGATACTGTTTTTTTACACACTTAATACCTCGTTGCTCAGTTCCACATTCTATTTTGAAAGGAAGTAATTTGGGACAAGTATCATTTGAAAAATTTCATATATGCTGAGTGGATATTTCGCTGACTGTTTCCAGTGGAATGTATAATTATAACAAAACGCTTTACAAACATCAGTGATAATTGCAGGTGTTTGAGGTCCTACACTCCTCTTTAGTAAACTATGCTTTCTGAATCTCCCCACATGAGACTTTAATGCAGCAAAGAAATACTGGAAGAAGGTCTGAAAAGTATTAGATGAAAAGTCTATTTTGTTCTTCTACACACCTGAAATATGTTGGAATTTATTTTTTTTTTAAACAGGAAAATATTTTCTGAAATGGTCAAATGAGCCAATGGGGAGAGGGGGGCGCAAGGGAGGAACCACAAATGGGAGAACACTCGTTATGATGCAAGCCCAAGTTTAGGCACCAACCCACATGAGCATTTTAAGATGTTTCACAGAAAGAATGGGAAAGGAAAAGACAGACGAACATTTACATTCCCTGAAGGTACAAGCTTTTCAAGCGCAGCCTTCAAAACTGCTCTCTATTTCCATTCAGAAAAACTACAACAGTTCAGAAACTACAGTAATGTTACATTCTCTCTTAAGGCCACTTCATGATTCAGTTTTTTCCTTTTCCTAATTAAAACTAACGAGAATCACAGTATTAATGCACACATGAAATTCTACAGGAAGAAGTTGTTAACTATAATTTCTCCATCTTACTTTTTGTAAAGAAATTCCCCTGCAGCAACTGCTACTGGCCGGTGAGCTGAATAAACCAGGTGGTAGACATTTTCACAGTCTTCTGCAGTCAGAACTTCTTCACTACTCCTGGGGTAGGGATGGGAAGAAAGAAAGAAAGAAGAAAAAGAGGCTGAGTTAACAGATTATGAACTCTAATGAGGAAGATGAAAATGAAGGAGAATCGAAACATTTTCCTTCAATTTGTCACGTTTTCCTTCAATTTGTCACGTTTTCCTTCAATTTGTCATGCTAAAACTCAGTCTTAGTTCCAAAGTCTTCCTGAACAAAATATACTGATCAAGTATAAGCCTTTGCTAGAAGGTTATGCTCCAAAGTTCAACTACTGTGTAATGTTCAGTAGATTCCATGTTCTTCATTTCAAACATTCCATGATCACTTCAAACTATGGAGGCTGAACCCCAAATTCCATACATCTGCCTAACTGTGGGACATAAGTAACAGCACTATTCTAGTCAGATTACTATTACTTTTGAAATTCCCATTTGTCTGAGTGTAAGATGCATAGATATTTCTATAGACTTCAAATGATCTGAAGTGTCATGCTGCTGGCCTAACCCACAGGGATTAGTAACATTTTTTAAGTTTCAATATCTGTTGTAAGCCAGATAAGAAAATATACATGTACTTACTGTAAAACAAGAGTGAGTAATTTTATTGCTTGGACTGCAACATCATATTCTTTGTCAAGAGTCATAGACACAATTCTATCCTAAGAACAGAAAAGAAAATATTTTTCAAGAGGAAAGAAGTGTAATCCAACTTTAAAAATAATAATACTGTACCTAAAAATAAGAAGTTACACTAACCTTGAACCGACTGGTGAAGAGTTCCAATTTGGAATTAAGCTCTTTATTATAGTAAAGCCCTTGCAAAGCAGTTAGGCATTTGAGTCTTACTTCCCCTTGCTAAAATAAAAAACAAAGAACTGAATTAAAAGTCAACTATAGGATACAGATCTTCACATCATACAAGATAAGTTTCTTTTACAGTCTGAATTAATTCAAATATTAAATGCTGTCCCACTCTACTACCAACGATCATTGTTTGTAACAAGCTAATGAAGGAAAAAAGCCAAACAAAACCCCAATATCTTACTGCAGTTAGCACCTCTGTAAGTCAAAATACACTTGTTTCATTCTTTCTAAATGCTCAAGATATTTCTAAGTAGAACTCTATATGTTTCATTTCTATTAAATTAAAACTGACAACATCTGTATCTGTATCACCAACAACCATCTCTTGTTTGATCAGAATTAGTAAGTAAATAATGAGAGAAATATTCCTTCTGAAATACAAGATGTACTTTAGCAGAGGACATGTTTTAAGGTACAGACACAGAATGACTTTTCCAAAATCTAGGACAACTGACTCCATGCAGTTTCTATCACCACTGCCAGAGGTTCTTGGTTTTTTATATCAAACCCACAAAGAGCACATCATGAGTGAGCACCCCCTCATTTGTGCCACTTCACAGTCAACAGCTTGAAGTCTCCAGTGCAAGGACTGGGACAATGTGCTGACTCAAAAAAATCAGGGAGTATTTGTAAACTATGTCTATTGACCCCACTAAGCAGAGAATAAGCTCTAGGTGGTAGTTATGAAGCAACAGCTTGAGGCACTCACCAGCACAAAAGGGGACCTCTCCCATGCTTTTTACAGCTGGAGGAGAACGCTAGAAAGTTTCTTAACTTGGTAAAACAGGCTACAGGCCTGCATTATTCCATATGACATGCACTGATTTTAAATAAGTATTCTAAAGTAAAAGTCTGGATCGGTAATATATAAATACAAAAGACTATTTCTTTACAAATAACAGTTCCTTAAAAAAATCGAGATATACTGTCTAAAAACATTCAAAAGATTCCAGTCTAGTTTATATATATGTTGAAATGCCAGTGCCTCTGACTGGTAAGAAAAGCAGTGATAGATTTAAACAGGTAGGAGATCTGAACCTAGTCTGACAAGATAACAACCAAAAGCATGGAGTTATGCTTCCTGGCTCTGCTCCTTTTCCCCAGTGCAGTTCACCTTATCATGCATAGTCCACCCCACATATTTTAAGTAGCTGTCATTGAGAAAGGCATCACTGTACATCTTCATCCATATTCCAATCTCTTCAATGCAGATGGCTCTGATTTCAGCAATTGCATCTCTGTGGAGAGAAGTGGGGCAGAAAGTTCAAACAGATCAATAATTAGAAATAACCTGCCACCGGCTTCCAAAATAAATTAATGAAGCTACAAATTACTTGCTACGAGAAACTTACCGGTATCTATGCACAAAAACACCTTTAAATATTGCATTCATCATGTTTTCTATTTCATCCTGATTTTCTTGAAGCTGAAAGAGTGTACAGAGTACATAAACAGTGAGGAGCACTTTTACAGTCAGATCAGACGGTGCTGATGCTACACAAACTAAATTAATGTTTGAAGTATGACCAACAAATCCTTTCCTGAAATATTCACAAATCTATTTCACAGTACAAGATACTACTATTTAAGGAATTGTATCTATCAGAGCACAGAAACTTTAGTTAATTGTGACAACTGCAAAACTGTTCTTCAAGTGTAACAAAGACATCTTAGGTTTCTGAAAGGTTCTTCTAAGTTTATTTATAAGAAAACTTGATTTAATTTTCTTGTAACATCCCTGCCTTTTTCATTTATCTATGTATTACTCATATTAGGACTGGTCCTGTACATACATCTAACACAACTATACTGAATAGGTGTTTAAGGATCAGTCTCAAAATGCAAGATCTTTGCAAGACAAACAGAAGACAAAGTTGTTAAGTTTGTCTGAACTGTCAAGAAAACAAAAACCTTAACAGGTAACAGCACAAACATTGAAGAGTAAAGGTCAGATGTTTCGTTTGATCATGAGAAGATTGTTTCTAATGTCTAAAAAACAAACAAACAAACAAAACCAACCCCAGCCACAAAACAAAACAAAAAAACCAATCCAAAACAAAACTAACCCCTCAAGAAGCCCCTACATAAAACAAACCACCAATTCCCCCCCCCAAAAAAATACTGAAACCTGAATGAATTAGGGCTTTCAACAAGACAGCACTGTCAGCAGTGAATCAGCAAGTCTCTTTTACACAAAAGAAAGAAAACAGAAGTAGGCTGCATTTTCAGTTTTGACAGTGCTTTCTGTAGATCAAAAAAGCCTTATCTAAAGCCTTTAAACACTTTCTGCTGAGATAGATATTGACATTATAAAAGCAGTACTTTGCTCCAAGAACCCAGAGATCATCTCTAGAAGCCAAAAACCAGTCAATGTATAGCAAATTTTGTTATGTATTCCAGCTTGGTTTAGGAAACTAGTCAAGAAATACAACAAAAAATTAGCTTTTACTAACTACCATCTCTCTTACTAACTTTCCCATGACACTACTATTTTTAAGAGTCTACATTTATCTCAGAAAATCAAACAAGTAAGAAGCACCTTTCAAAGTTTTTTAAACATGAACAACTTTGAAGAATTAAACAGAGACTAATAACTACCAAAACATATTACAGACCAAGATTAATTATGAGTTGTCAGCTATGAACACTCATCAGTGCACACCAGCTAGACTTGCACTAACCTCCTTTCTTTTCTGCAGTAAGAGTTCCAGCCTATCATTAGCTCGTTTCCCAATTATTTTATTTCGTTCTGCTTCATACTGTCGCTGTGTGTTGTCCATGTTAATACTAAGATTTAATGCCACATTCACTAAAGCAGTCATCAGCTTCATGGCTACAAAAAAAAAAAAAAAGGTGACAAGATTAAGGATTATTTAAAAGGTTCTGATCTAAGAAAATTTATAAACACAACTCCTTCTGTATTTATGAAAATATATTCACTATAAATTTCTTGGTACACAAACTCTAGAAGTGTTTTACCAACCACTGCATAATGACTAATCATCACAATAGATAAATACTTATTCTGCTCTTTTCTGTCAATTTTACAATGTTATAAGCATTAATCTTGATTGAGATATAGGATATGCTTCCTCCCCATAATGAAGGTAAAAGGTAAGATTTACAAACAGCCCAGGAAATATTAAAAGGATTCCATTATCAGAGTCTGTAAGACTGACACCATTCAACCTTAAATACACAACAAGTTTCTTTCTTCAAAAGGAAATGTCTCAGACAACCAACACCACCATATCACACCAGTCTTTTCTCCTTTAATTTAATTTTAACAAGGGGCAGGTTTTTTTAAAGATTCCTTTATTAGCAGAGGAAGCATATTAGCCAGAGAACTGACCAAAATATATGAAACACATTTGCATGGGCTTTCGATGTCTTTTTATTTCTAAATAAAAAGAAACTTGCACATAAAGCAACCCTTTTTAAAAGGGTGCAGACAAATATCCTTCTCCCAGAAATGAGGAGGAGGTCAATAATGTACTTGCTTTTCTTGTGAACTTCTGTAACAAGGCATGAAAGGGCTTGCACTGGCAGAGCACACATGGAACATTCTTGTGAGTGTATCACCAGCATAAAGCTGATGAGCAAGACTTAAAGACAAGCAGTTATATTGAAATATCATCTCACACTGTGATCTCCAAGGAAATCAAGATTAAAGAACAAGTCTGAGCTCATCACAGAAGCCAAAATTACCACAAATAACAGTAAATATGGATACAGGGATTTTGTTGGCTTTCTATTCCATATAAAACACAACCTTCAAGAATACAAACTGTAAACTCAGATCAAACATACAAGCAATTACACAAAATCAACAGAATTGACTACTGATGTGAACAAATGCAAACAGAACTGCTGAAAAAAATATTTTGTATGACTTAAATTAACATGCAACAGGGCAACTTCTGCAGCTTTTATTGAAGCACAACTCAAATAAAAATTAAAAAAGGGGGTAAAAACTTGCTTTTTAAGACCTAAAATTTGTATTAGTCATATGTTACAACAGTCGGAATTGATGATACAGCAGCATCTGTAAATGTGTTTCTCTCTCCATAAGAAATGCCCAGGCTGGTGGGAGTCTCACAGCATGTGCAGTGAGCTAATGTAGACTCAAGAGAGTTATCAATGATACAGAACAGCTGATAGGACAGTCAGCACTGTAAACCAGACAGGTCCAGGGAAGGTAACACGAACTATTTCCAGTGTGGTAAAAACTCAGTTTCACATACAGCTTAAATTCACCTTGTTCAAAGTAAAATTGCTACAACGACCTCACACAAGCTGAGGGTACACAATGCCATTCACAACCCTTCTTCAGGAATCAATGCCAGTTTAGGACTTCCTTATCCAAGAAGCTTATCTTTTGTCCATATAAAGACACATTTCTTTAAAACACTCTATACTTAATTCATAAGGGATTTCTTCATAATTTAACAGATTGGAAAAAAAATTCATGTGAAAAGGTCAATTACTTAAAACCATAAAGGTACTTAGTACCTGTATCACTGATGAAACATGCTTTAAAATTATTTCTAATGCAAAGACTGGAAATGCTACTTTACATGGTACCACAGCCTCAATATGCAGCACAATTTCATGTGTAGGAAAAATTACATCCAACATAAACAACAACTTTAGACTTAATGCAGAGCATAAACAGGCTCAACTGGCATTTGAGGTTAAAGATCCCTACAGCCTCATTTATGACCAAAGACAAACTCATAGAATCAACAGAAAATCCCCTTCTATTTACTTTTTCTACCAGACTTAAAGGTAATAAAAATTAAGTACCAGACAGCTGGTGAAGAAAGCTTTAAAATAATGCTGTGCTTTTCAGTAACAAAAAACCAACGAAAAGCTGTCCCAAAACAAGCAGCATTAGATGAAAACTGTATCACACAATGAAACTCAGTTGAATGTCGCCTATCAAGAAGTTGAACCAGAAGAATCCTTCCCTGGGCAGCACAAAACATGAGATGTAGGCAATACACAAATCAATCCAACCCACTGACCTGCCAGCGTGCTCGTGTGCCGAAACGCTCTGACTTGTGAGTCTGACAGCCCCGTGAGCAGTGAAATGACAGTGTCCATCATATACTCATCATATATGATGCTATATTGACATTGTCGGACGAGCACTCCAATGAACTCACAAAAACTGGATTTGAACTTCTTCCACTGGGGGCCAGCCATAGTTAGAGGATAATCTCCGCTATCCTATTCAAAAACAGAAAAGGAAACTCTTTCAAACGTCTTAAAAATTATTTCATGAAATAAAGATTAAAGAGAGATGGGTACAACTTTAAAGCCAAAACCTCCAAGGCGCTAAAAATGATACATCAGAAGAATGTGATTCCATAAATATGCATCCACTTTGCAGCTCAGGCTTGTTGCAGCACAAAGACAACATTTTAACTACTAATTTCTCTTTCTTGTTCTGACTCCCAGAAAAGAGGAAAAAAAAATAAAAATCATAAGCCTTACAAATCTGCTTCAGGTTGCACCAGAACCATCACACGAACAGCTTAGGAACAATCAATCCAGGACCATAATAAAGTTTAGAGGGAGATGTTTACATATCAGACTGAAATTTCCTGATGTCACAAAATGACCAACTACAACACCATGACTACAACTAATGTGTGTTCCTCTCCTGATCTGGGAGCCTTTACAAATCATGGTAAAATGACAAGGAGAAAAAAATAATTATTTGTGTCAGTGCTTCTGTGAAGAGTTTCTTTAAGAGGCTGAACAACAATACAGGCTGAAAAATTAAAAAAGGACCCATGAAAAGGGATTAGAAATCAGAGTTGTTCATTAGAATTCTGTTACAAGAAAAAGTGAGCATGACAGTGATCAAAAAAAAACATGAGCAAACAGTCCCAGCTGTGGTTTTATAAATTTCATACAATATTGCCTTAGAGTAATCAAATCTATTTATGCATTCAGATATTTCTAAGAAACACTAAAATCCTTTTTTTAAAAAGGGTACATTTTCCCCTCAGTTGAAGTTAAGGATTTTTTTTAATGTGGGGGTGGGGAGATTATTTCTGTACTGGACTAATTTGGGGAGGAGGTTTTAAAGCTACCTTTATGTTCTTTGGTACACAGGGTGACATGAATATCACTCAAACCCACAAAAAAAAAACCAAAAAAAACCCAAACAAAAAAAACCTCACCACCAAAAACCCCCCAACATATCTCATTTACCCCCAAAACTCAGTGGACAGAAAGGGACAATTTAAAGGAAAAACAGTTATAATCCCCATGAAAGGAAAAGCATTAGTCTTTAACTGCAGAATAATCAAATTCAAAACCCCACAATTTATAGATCAATGAATGCATAGAAATTAATTTAGCAGCCATTTTAAGAGAGAATTTAAGGCCTTACATACACAGCAGGAATGGGGAGTCATCCCACACAGACCCACAGTAGTAGGAGTTCCCACTACTTAAAAATTCAGTCGATACTGATTTTTTAAACCATTAATAAAACAAGTTACACACATGCAGAGCTTTACTTCCTTGTCTTCCAAGTTCAGTGAAATAAGGCAATTAATTATTTTCATTCATAAACGTCCTGTCATTTCTGTAGATGAACTCCTCCTTGAAACAAACCTCTAACAACGTGATCCAGCAACATTAGGACAGGTAAAAATAAAACTAATATCAATACGTAATCAATACTTCATTAAATTACCTCATCAAATTCTTCGGTCATTTTTCGGATTATTTCAGAATTCTGCATATGTCGGAACATCTCTGCTGTAACAACTCCTACAATTTAGATATTTGACTGTTAGCACTTTGAATATGAAAGTGGGTAGGTGGGTGGCAGATGACATGACTCCTGCTACAACGCAAAAATGATCGATTTTCAGCTAACCTACAGTTTACACATGTATTTTTTAAATAAATTCCACATTTTTTTCTTTTAGCATCCATGTATAACAAGCACTTGACACCATACACATATATGTATATATGGGGTTTTATTATTCTATTTAAGAAGTGTGTTTATGTGCATGTACACACACATCTAGAATTTACTCATTCACTCATATTCAGAAGTCAAAGATACTTGTGCCAGAGCTCTTTATCAACAAGAGATTACACCATCTGAAGTGACCTTTTAGGACTCAAGACTCTAGATGGTGTAAGACAGTTTTGAACAGCTGTATGGCTACTTATTATCTTCTGCACTCCAATAAACAGAGTGATTTCATGCAATTTTTATTTGTCTTGGCCTCAAATTGTTAGAGTGTAAATAGTGATATAAAACCCAAATAGATCTCCCGAAGTTTACTGCAAAATTCATGACAAGGATCACCACAGAAAGCATTGAAAGATTCTGCAGCTTTATCTTGTAACAATAATCAAAAGGTCACTGCTCCTGAAAGCAGGGATAACCTCTGAGGAACGCTGCTGGCTTTCTGGAGATTTACGCATGTTAAAAGTTTATCAGGACAGAGAAACGCTTGAGCAGAACAAATTACATCCAGTCCTACTCTATCAAGCTCAGTGATGCTGCAGGATAAGTTACCTCCTCTTCAAAAAGAGGTGAAAGAGGAAAAAGAATGAAGGATGTGGAAAATAGGAAAGAAAAATCAGAAAAAAGAGAAGAGAAGAAAACAAAATATAGAAATACCACCTTACTGTAGACAGGCTACCATGAAGTTGCCCATTGCATCTTTTAAATCGAGCACGTCTACAAAAGCTATGAAGCAATCTTAAAACACTCAAAGAACAGATAAATCCCATCTAGAATGCCAAGACTGAACAAGCTAAACTATCAGTGTTAATAGAGATGGTTTCTGAAATAATAGCAGGAACAGAGGAAGATGAAGCAAGTGTTCAGTACCAGTACTGCAATCTATCTGCTGTAAATACAAAAGGCTTAATCTACGTTTTAAACTACAGTATAATATCTCTAAACCTCCTGCTCACACCTTCAGAAATCCTAGTTTAACTCCAAGAACCTGATAATGTAAACTAGCTGCAGGGATGGAGCACTTCTACAGCATCTGCAGTATAAAAGCAAAATATTATCATACTATAATATTACTTAAATGGATGAGTAAACATTTCAGTATCTTACCTTTGCAGCCTGAACACTGAATAAAGAAGTTAATGAGATCAAGAAGTGCTATATCTCTGTCATGTTTGTATGACTCTATCCAGTCATCCACTACAGACTGAAAGGAAACAAATAAAAAAGGCACTGTTCAGCTTTCATAAATTGAAGACAGTGTTATTTAAGTGCTTTCCATAAGTGATTCTTCTTCATTCCTTCAGTAACTTGAACTCTTTTTTGATTATAGAATTAAATGTCTGAATAATCCTCTACTGCTGTAATATTAGTCCTCAAAATAAAGAGCTCACTTTATAAACATACATATACAAGTACAAAACCGACACCTTAACATAAAGCACAGGAATACCACATCCTCCTACTGTAACTTTTACAGACTCGGGTATTTTATTTACAATCCCCCCACCTCACCAAGCTAGTGACACTCCTCTAAAGCTGCTCTTTGGGTGTTCAGTTCCAACAGCTACAGCTCCCTGTATTCTCTCAAAACCGTGCTCCCTTGATGAAATGTGCCCCACGCACATTTGCCAAAACAGGATGAACAGCACTGCCCTACACTGCATGGACAGTAATTACTCCGTAGTCACTAACCTAAAGAGGAACAAGAGCATTTTATTAACAAACCTTAATGTGAAGCCAATTAATAGGAAACCTGTGATCATGGTTTTGAGAAAACAGAATTTACATGCAATTATGTTGCAACCATCCATGTGTATGGTACAGTCTACTGCCGAGGTCATAAAAACATAAAATCCCACAATTTTATTAACTGATTCTTCTTCCCAGCCCCAGTGCAGGAGCCTGCAAACCTCGAGAGCACTGCAGAGCGACCCAGCTTTCTGTGTGCCTACCACAGAAGCTGTAAACTCTACGTTTCCAGTCCCAAAGATAGACTTTCTTCCAGGAGGAGTCACATGAGTGAGTCAGCAGGAAGGTTTCATGGCTGACAGGCTCACGCTTTAACCCTCTCTCCACTGGAAGACTCACAGTCGAGTAAATGCTCTAGAAGAGTTAATTGAATTTAAAAAAAAAAAAAAGTGCTGCATTTCTTACTAGTGTGACTTCAGCCCTGCTAGTAAATGCAGTGGGGAGAATGCCTAATGCACAGCTTAACTTCCTCTAAGCTGACTTGGCTAATGTGTATTGCTACACTGGAATTGGCAAGAATTTGGGTCAGGAAATTTTAAAGAGGAGCTCTGAAATTGTAGCTTGGGATTTTACTTTGGGTGAGAGAAGTAACTATTTATTTTCAGATAATCTAAGCTCTGGAAACATCTACAAACTACAGACTTCTTGTTAAGTTCTATGACAGCTGTAGGCCTAACCCACATTTATATTTAGTTACAGTCACAAAAAAAGGACTTTAAAGCCATGTAATCTAAAATGAACTTTCTTCATTCAGGATACTGAAAATTTACTTTGAATCACAGTATGAATTTCTTAATTATATATGTGATTATTCATAGAATCATAGAATCAGCTGGGTTGGAAAGGACCTCTGAGATCATCAAGTCCAACCCTTGATCTACTACCATTCATGCCTAACATTTAGAAATGAAAAATTAGTTCATTCAAATTCAAACCTTAACAATGAAAAACCACTTTAGTTTGATCCTTGTCTGCAACTAAAACCAACAAATTTAAGAAACATATTACTTTAGGTTTCATTTGATTACATTGCATGTAGAGGACAGTATTGTTCTATTTAAACTATATATAATTTAAATCACAAAGATAACCCAGATCTTACCTGCATAGCACTCTTGCCCATTTTAACTACCTCAAACAGCATCATGTTTTCCACACCATTCTGTTGGTGATGTCCATTCATCCGATTTGGACCACCAGGTTTCCCTCCTCCGTTTCCACTTTTCCCCTTCTCTGCTGGTCCTTTTTTTCCTTTTTTACAGGTCTGCAATCACACACACACACATCAAGTATTAACTGGGTTTTATGTAATATTAGAAAACAAAAAGCCAAACAAATCACTATCCATAATATACACAAGGCCTTCGATTTTCAGCAACCAGATTTTAATTCTATATATAAAAAACATTCAGAATAACAGCAGATCTTGACTGATACGAAGACCAGTGAGAATTGTACAGGTTCCACTTTCTCCTTCCCTCATTTAAAATCTTGTAGCAAATAAAAATGTGATTAGTGACTGTGTATTATACATAGATTTTTCTCATGTTTAAATTGTAAAATAGATTACGCATATTTTCTTGAAAACAGCTAAGGCAATTCCCTAAACACATCACAAAGTCTCCTCTGCAATTCACTAAACTTTTGTTTTTTTAATTTGAACACACATTGGCAAGTGGGGGTAAGGAAAAGCAGACTGGTGTCTTTGTATTTGATTTCCCAAATCAAGTATGACTTACAGAAAGAAGAAAAAATTACTTTAAACACAAATTAAACCACCATTTTATAAAACTTATCACCACCTCTCAATAGCTGGGCCCTCTCCCCAGGTACAGGCACAAGGGGTGGCCAGTGAGGTGGTCACAGCCCAGCACAGCCTCATCAGGGAAGGAGCCACACGTAGAGGGTGCAAGGCCAGTGAGAGGCAGGTGGGGAGGAGAGAAGGGTTGGTAACTGGGTTTAGACCTCCCCACTCCAGCAGTGTAGCCTCCTGCCTGTGACCTATTTAAAAAAACCCTTTTAACTGAGTTACTGGTTTCTGTTCACTTTTCAAATTAAAAGAGACAGTATTCATGACACCAACTAGAAGAGACTGTATTAACCAAATTTATGTACAGGATGGAACACATGCAGAGGGACTAATCAAATCAAAGATTATCCTCTTCTCCCCTACCTCCCTTATGCCTTCATAGCACTAAGAAAATATCATGGAAACAGTCAAGATGAAGCATTTCCATGCAAACACAAATATGAACTCTCTTCACAGAATGCTTGTGTTCTCAGAAAATATTTCTAGCTCAACTTCAAAGCAAGTATTACACTCTTCATTTCTTAACAGTGGAAATGTTTCAGTATCCCTAAAGATTGAACATACTTTGCCTTTGCCTTGTTTTTGGTTTTTTCCTTCAATATCCTCAAAGTCTGTGTCAGAAGAGAAGTGTGTTTCAGACTCCCTGCAAGGATAAAAAGACAAACCATTTACGCATTCCATCAGAAATGTTCTTAAATATACTACATAAGATCACAGTACGCTCTCAGCCCAGTAAGTCAACACCAACAGTGAAACTGCTTTTGTTTTCAAGTCTGCTGTTGAGGAACAGAGCACATCCCCACACTCACACCCTATCCAGCCTCCTCCAAACAATGTACCAGTGAAGAAAGCCATACAGTAAGCTTAAAAGATGTGAAGGCAGGCAGAAAATAGCAACAGGCTGGGAACCTTGCTCTTGGCACTTGACAAACATTACAGCATCTCAAAAAGCAAAGAGCACAATAAATTCTGTGCCACAAACATTTAAACAAAATGAGAAGGGGAAAAAATCCCAAAATCCCAACAGCAAAAAAACCCTCTGTCACTTTCCCAGACAATCAAAGCATCTCAACAGATTCCTTCCTGCTGTTAGAAACTTAGGAAATAGTTTAGAGGTTTGCACTTATGTTGAAAGGTACAGAATAAAAGTTTAGGTGAGGTTTCTTCAAAAAGATTACCTGTAGTCCTGTTTAGACTTATAAGGTAAAAGCACACTAAATATACAGGCATTTGTTTCATTTCCTGCACATTAAAATATGCTGCATCAATATACAAATCCTTTAATGCCAATATTGATGAGGGGATGGTGTCTGAAATCAATTGAATTATTAACAGAGAATGTTTGGCTTATATATTCTCTACTTCTACATTTCCTGTAGAATTTAACTGAAATGATGCTACTAGATCTCATTTTAACACATTTCTGTGCACACTTCCTGATTCAATTAACAACACAATCAGAAAGATAACCAGGGGGCACAGGAGACTCATTCCTATGGATTTCTTTGTAACCTTCTAAAACACTCCAGAAACTTATGTTCTCTCACTAGTTCAAGTATCTGATAAGAGGTTTCTGCCTTTTAACATGCATCTTGCCATTTCTGGTTTTGCTGGTTGGGGACATTCAGACAGACTGGAAAAGCCTCCAACAGGGGGTTAAAGGGAAGACTGAAAGAAAGAAAAAATCTCTTCTTCAACGACTCCTAGATGTTTCTAATTTTCACAGGAAAGAACTAAGTACAACTTCCAAACATTTCACCACACAATGAACTCTACCAATGGAGTACAAACCCATTATAAGCAGTTGTAGAAACACTATTTTATATTAAACCATCTTCCAGTTTATTTCCAATTTTTACTTCTCATTGAAAAGAAAAAACACCCAAGCAAATAACCTCACTGACACAAAACTACATCTTGGTATCTTTTTAGATTTCATAACCAAGTTAATCCATTTCAACAGTCTAGAGAAATATATTCATGTAAACCCCTTTACCATAAAAAGGTAAATCTTGGAAATTCAAATATCCTTGTCTAAAAAAATGATTTTAAAACACTTATTTTAATTTCTGCTGAATTAATAATCAAGAAAAAAATTAAAACAATGCTTTATCAACATCTCAATAGAAAAAAATCTCCAACTCTATCTGTCATTTTGTTTCCTTGTTTCCAAAAGAAAGCAAATAATAACATTAAAAAGACACAGTAGATTACAAAAGAAACCACAAATTCTTGAAACACTTACTGAAGGAGAGTAAAATCAGTTGGTATTTCTGGAGCTGCTATCATTTCTTTATCATCTTCTGGAACACCACTGTATTAGAAAGATATTCAAAAAGCAGTCTCAAGTGCAAGCTTACTTTTCTTTCTTCCTTTGTAGTGGGCAACTTCTAGAATAAAATTTAAAAAAATACAGTGAAAATTACTCCAAATATGAAGGCATAAAAAAGCTGGAAACAGAAAATGTAGATCACACCATCCTCTGTTTCCAACCAAGCTTCTTCCCGTTTACAGATTTTTTGACTCCTCCCATGATCCCACTACACAGTACCCCCACAAATGGTAAAAGCATCACAGTAAAAAATACAGAAACATCAGTAAAACGAATAAATCCAACAACAACTACTACTTTCTGAATAGGATGAGCAAACTAGAATGGTTTTCACTAACACCTTTCGAGTAACAGCTTTACTTTCTAAATCTATACTAGATTTAAGTTTGACCTGTAACACCATGCACAGCAGAGCCCAGACTTCAGAACACTATGGTATTTCTGGCTGACCAAACCAAAACCAGATTTGATATTTAACTTAAAATCCCAGTGTGTGTACATTTAAGGTCACTATATGTACCAACTTCCTATCTCCAATTTGCAAACTTCCATGTCATTTTCCATAATTATAAGCTCATAAAACAAGTTCTTATAAATAGATGTTTCACAACTCCATGCCTTTCAAAGCTGATAAACCAGCCTTAACAACAGTTTTAACAATTAAAGCAATTTGCCAAGATTTTAGAATATCAAGGAAGATAATGCTATTCACATGGTATAAAGGAAAACATCAGAAACATCCATGGTGTTTTAACTTAAGATTGGGAAATACCTGCTTTAAACTTAATAACAGTATTGTCACCTATTCACAAATTTTGTTATTTCTATTATTTCCCTATTTTTTAAAGGGGAAAAAAACTCCCTGGATATTTCAAATGCAACAATCCAGGTTGAAGTTTTCCATGTCACTTGGCTACCCCAGGCTAACTTTTACACAGTGAAATTAAGAAAGCATGATGTTCAGGTATTTTAAAGACAGAATACTAAGGAGGAAAACCTTCAGAGTCAGTCTGCTGACTCTACAGCTTGCTGGAGTGATTAGGTATTTGAGGGAATGATTTAATTTTGGCATGCTAAGCACATGTTGCTCAATGTCTGGTAGCTGTGCTTCAGAGGCTGCATTTCAATGTGTGTACACAGAGGCCGATGGCTCCTTCCTGCAAGTGCTGATTCCGAATGCTAGGGGCCACTGTAGCTTCCAGAATTTAGAGCTGAGAGAAACCATAAACCCTGAACTTAGCAGGTTCTCTTTCTTCACATTTCCCATAATTACATAAAAGCAGAGAACCAGAGTGGAAATAAACAGTGGCAAAAAGAGGGGAGGTTCAAGACAGGCTGATGAATCTCAAGGTAGTCTGCAACCACCAAAGCATGTTCCATCCAAAACATCACAGCTGCTGAAGGGCAGCAACTCTTGCCACTCCATTCCTCCCTTCCCTAAAACCACATGGGCATATGACCAGTGCATTCCCATTTCCACTCCCTGTAGCCAACCATCAGTGCCAGGCAGGGTGACAGCCCTGCCCAGCCACTACCTCTGCCATTGGGGATCACCCAATTCAATCCCCACTAAAATGGGGAAAATACACCTCAAGTATTTTTCCCCTTTGATTCTCAAGTTAAACTGGTTCAACAGCAGATATCCAGAGCCAAGGCACAGGAAACACCAGACTGCATAGCCACAAGCAAGGGAGGGAAGGGTAAAACTCCCTTCTTTGGTGGCAAGGAGCTATATTATACCATCCAGGCTGCCTGTGAAACTATACACTCAGACAGTAACACATCAAAATGCTCTACACCTTGGAGTTTTAAAATTTATTTTTAATATATAGTTTTTTAATATTTACTTTGATTCCAGTCAGCAACTCAAACTTGGAAAAAAGGCACACTTTAGTGCCTTGGTTACCAGGGTGGCATCTGCTCAGGTGTACAGGGAGGGGGAAACAAAAAAGAAAAATGGAAAAAAAAAAAGGATACAGCCACACAACCACACCAGTCCTTTCTGAAGCAAGCTTGTGATTCAGTCCCAGTCAAAGCAAGGATGCAAACTTCAAAAACCACACTGCCCAGTTTCAAGTTCAACCTATCTATGTGTTGTTGTTTGATTTTTTCTAGTTCACATTCTTCAATGTCACATCTACCAAAGTGACAATCAGGATGCTTACATGCAAATTGGCTCCCTTTATGAAAGTCAAACCTCCTATTTTACCAAATTTTGCAAAAATCTCAATATTCTTACAACCACAGAAAGACTTTAAAGAAAAAAAATGAAACAAAACTATGAAAAAGAATGAGTACATGATTAAAGTACATATTCTCTACATCAAACAAGTCAAATAAATCCCTTAACAAAACAAGCTAGCTGCCCTTCACACCAACTTGAACTTCTTGTAAGAACTGTTCTTCTAAGTACAGACCACAAAACATGGGAGAAAACGTGGCAGTTTGGTCAGAATCATCTCATAAAACAGAAAAGAAATAGGAAGTTCTTGCTAGATGCTGAAGTGTTAAACTACTGAGATTCACATTTCAAGAACAGTTTTTCTTGAAGAAGAAACTTGGCCCTGGTGAGTGCAACTATATACTGGTATTATGGAAAACAGTTACAGATGAACACCTGCACCTGTGTATGAGGTAAGACTGAAAGGGATCTCCAGCGTCCAGCTCAAGCTCCAGTAATGATTTAAAAAAAAAAACCCTTGCATTTGTCCTAGAAAAGGATAATTTTACAAGATTTACACACATGGATTTTCAATGCTCAACCAGCAGTGCCCTCAGGAGCAGTGGCCAAGAGAAGCTGCCCAAGGAAGAACACATTTGGCTTTGTATCAGCAAAGTTTCCCTCAATACTTCCTGGCATCCAGAAATAACTCAGGGATTTTTTTCAGCCAGAGTGTTTGTCCCTATACTTCATAACACCTTCTTTTTTTCCATTATTATTTCCAATTACTTTTTGAGCTCAATATTCAGCAGTGATCATCTTCCACACAAGAACTCCCACAGCCAAACTCCATGCTATGAAGTGTCATGTTCTTTGCCTTGAATTTATCACTTTCCAATTTCATTTCATGGTCTCTTGGTATGAGAAAAGAGTGACACTGGTCATTCTCCATTATCCTTCATCTCACTACCATTCATTCATTCATTCCAGCCTTCTGGAAATCCAAGATTACTGCCAGCCATGTCTTCCTCATGCACACACTGGATGACTCATTCCAAGCACCTGGTGGTTCAGGAAGCCAGTAAGAAAGGAAAATAGTCCAAGCAACCACCCTATCAGAACTTTTAAAATATATCAAGTTCATCACAGTGAAGTCTGAAAAAAGTGAAATTCTTGCAGATGCCGTTTCATACCGTGGAATTCTGCATTACCCATTAAACACGCTCTAATAAGCAGATTACTTTAAGAACTTAAATCTAAACTGAAGTGCATCGTAAAAATCAGCTCTTCAGTTTCTTTTCTTTTTTGGCACGTTCACAGAATTCCAACTTTAATTTTCCCAAGGAGATACTCTCAAGCCTGTGAAAACTTTCTGAAGTCACTCAACTTTGTGAAATCATAATTAAATTATTAACTATAAAAAGAAAATGTATCCTGCTGAAGGATCACAAGGTGGAGCTCTAGCCTAAAGCTAACTGAAGAAACTCAAAAAGACAGGTCATCCAGAGGTTGACCTAGTTATTTCTCTGCAATAAACTTTATAACATATTGCTAAAACTGCAATAATATTGTAGCATATTTGCTTTACCTTTATATTTAGATTACATTAAGACACCAGAGGATTCCTGCATCTTTTCTGAAATAAAGGCACATACATGTTTGATTCCAATTACTCTTCCAAAGATGGAAATACACACACAGCTGCTGTAGTATGAGCAGTCTCAGTATTTAGCTTTCAAAACAAGTAGAACAATTATAATAGCAGAAACAGTGTATCCCTTTATTATACCTTGCTATTTCAAACTGCTAACAAAACATTAATGAACTCAAAAAACAACTGGAAAAACAGGAGTAGTCCAGTCACACTAATCATACACAATGCTTCCGACTATAAATGTAGGAGGGGTTTCTATTTAAAATAATTTGACTGTTGAAAGCAAGAGCTAAGCATGACACAATATCAAGACCCTAAATGTATCTTCACTGAAAAAAAGATTTACATCTTAAAGGTTATTAATCCCTATCACATGAATAATTAATTTAGGTACGGTTGTGACTAACTGAAACACACTGGCCAAATGTTGAGTCTGCCAAAAGCTGACAGAATTCACCAGCACAACTCACACAACAACACATGTGCTGTGATCAGCAGTTGCTCAGGGCTACCTGTCCTCTCCCAATTCCTGTTACACGCACAGACAGCCTAAACATACATTAATATAGTTCAATGAGCAGCCTTTTTTAAAACAATGTACCTAAATACATATATACACACAGACAAAAAATACAAAGAATCACAAGATCAGTCCCAGATGCCTGTGTTTCATCCACTCGTGTAAATGCAGTAACTCCAGTGTTATTTAACAAGCTCACAGTGAGGTTTCATGTAGGTGGGGTTTGATTTGGGGGCGTTTCCTACACAGGCACTTTTTTTTTTTTTTGTTGCTGTTGCTTGGTATCTATTATCTGGAAGTTTTATAAGACAAATCAGTAAAGCAGTTACCATTTTTTTGTGAAGGCAGAGATGCAAAGCTAAAAAGAATGGTTACATGGCCAGAGCAAAGATTTTGGTAATGCAGGATTGGCTGTTCAGAGATGTATTGATTTTTTTCCCCTCTAACTCAATTAATCACCTGTAAAATCAAGGACCTCACTTGATTCAGAATATTAGAACTTCTAAAACTATGATGTTGAAGTGTGTGGCTGAAGTTCACCTCTGAATTATTTATCTATCCATGAATGAGAGATGCTGATGCTTCAGGACCAATTATGCAGTAGCAAGAGTTAAAATGCAAGTCAAATAAAATAAAGGATCAGAAATATGTCCAATATTTTCCCTTAACTATTTCAGAAGAGAAAGGTATTATGAGCTACATCATGCCCCTCACTCCTTTACT